AAATTCATCTAAAATAAAACAGGTATAATATTCCAAGAGGTAATGCGTGTTTTCCTGATACATGCTAAGGCCCCTCTCTCAGCTACAGGCTGCATTAACATGCAAACAAATAAAATGTTATGCATTATCTATACAGATAGTATTGTCACCTTTGTCAGGTAGCGTTAGAACAAGACTACTTAGTTACTCTAAAGGTAACACACGAGCGTTTTGTTAGGGAATCGTTATCTCAGCGTACCTACACTGGCTGAAGTATTCTATCATCTCATGCTGAGTACATTATTCGTTTCTAGGAAATGACATGACTTAACGCGACACCTGAGTACAGTTTCTAGTAATTTCTTACTTTTCAGGTTTTCTTTTCGAATCAAATGCAAAGGGTTTGTTGCGACTTAGAATGTAGTAATGACTGTGCTGATTTCACTCTTCAAATAACTTGTTTCAAACTACATTTAAATAGTTTATTTATAAAATCTACGTTAAAGTTATTACTAACTATCGACCCCATGATCCGCCCCGTGTTCGCACGGGTGCAATATGCATTTATTATACATATAAACCTTCCTTAAGAATCACTCTATCTATTAAAAAAACGTATCAAAATCCGTTGCGTATAGTATTAAAGATCTAAGCATACATAGGGACAGACAGACGGCGGATAGCGACTTTGTTTTATACTATGTGATGATGAAGAGAAGGACTACAAATTTTTGATTGTCAGGTATCTAATAAATTACTGAGTGCAAGTCAATAAGTAACCAAAATAAGACTATTTTAACTTATGCTTTTTCGATACAACTGTGATTTACTATTATCACAATCACCACTTTTTATTCATTGTTGAATAGTGTAAAGGTCTCCCGAATGTCAGACCAACTAGCTCGATCTTCACATGCAACCATTGATAGACACTTTGAGGATAATAAAATTATGATCACCCCAATCAATTGGTTGGTACCGTACAGGTCATAAACCTAGTTCAACAACAAAAGCTACAGCAAGGACACAATAACTGTATACCTATATGAAATCTGTTACATGCATGAGCATGTTACATAGCTTAAAACTACTATGTAACTTCTTTTATTTGGTGAATAATAAAAATATTATTACCTTACAGCCCAACGTCTGCCTATGAATGATCTTCAGTACTTACAGCAGCAGTCACCGGTTGAACGCTTCCTATAGCCCAGTTCAACAAGGGCTTAGTTTAAAACACAATACAAGAAAAATAATGTTAATTATTATGTTTTCGGCTTATTGACTTAACTGTTTGACGAGGAACTCTACCAGTTGCAAGATATGCTACACTGCTAGAGGCTTATATTCATGACATGAGCATTTTGTGAGTAAGCCGAAAACATAATAATTAATTTAGTACGTCTAACGAAAGTTTTTATATGAACAGAAATAATGTTAAGTATACATATTTATAATATGTCCTCTAGGGTTAGAAGTAGTTTTTCCCAACTATGTTTGGAGTTGGTACAAGCTTTAAGCACTCAGGAATTATTTTTTGTTTTGTGTAATATTTCCATTGTCCATAGGCAATGGAAATCCGTTGTTACTTATTAGGAATCCTATATTTGGTAGGTAGGGTAAGAAACTGAAACAGAATCATATCTATAGAATGAGTTAATAGATTAGATGCTACTTATCTAACGAAATTTAATAAATATAGATTTTGAACAGGTATAAACTCGTAGAAAACAAGATAGTGCTCGTAAAGTTATTATTATATACGTCTTTCCTAATTGACATCAAACTCACAGCATGGATACTTTATATAACTATTGAATCCTAAAGTAGTAGTAATCAGCTACATAGTACCTAGTAGTGCAAGTACAAATGTTACACTTGAATTTTGTTTTATCCCGTCAAAGTACAAGGACTATGCTGATCTGTGAGCAACCATGAAAATAAAAATAACGGCAGGATACCTGTGTATAGGATACCTGTGTATACCTACCGTACTCATAACAAACTATTGCAGCGAATAATAAATTATAACATCACCTTGCTACACAGAGTGTCGTAAAAATGTCTGAGTCACATTTATCGAGGATAAAATTGAAAAATATATTCCTAATCACAGAGCGGTGCGCATTGGACGGCCAGGTAATCTAGAGGCAGATAACTCCAATAACAGCACTTCGGATGACCTCGCACACGCTGATAGTTGTAACATGCTTGTTACGTGTGTCTAACTCACACGATTACATCGCTACACCGCTACATCGCCCTGGCGAACTGCTACTTTATTACTACATGTCATGATATCAGAACACTCGCTCATTACTAACACTGGTTCAAAACAGGTACACGCCGAAACTTAAAGCTGCAATCCCACAGGGTAGTCATTACTATTACAAACGAAGCAGCGGGGTGTGCGCAGTCATGATTATAATTATTTGGTACTGTAAATCTACGACAAACATCCCTCACCAATACTCGTACAAATACTCAGATTACTTCATCTCCATAGGTACTTACGTGCTCCTATTAACAAAAAATACCTACGAATTTATGATAGTTGTGTATGTACTCGCACAGGTGTATGATATGCTCCAGAAAGCACACACCTTGGCTGTTATCAAATGACACCGTTTGATATGCGCCTTTACCAGCTTATCTATCATGTCGAAATTCTTCCACGTACCTACCTATCACGTACCTATTGTATCCTAGTAAATAAGTACGTATCGACAATGTCTTATTCGCCAATATTATTTAGAGTCATTCCATCTCTTACACAACATTATGCTGTTGAGGCAGGCATGAAGAAGATTTAGTCCAGCGACTTCATTCTATATTTTCGTTGTAGTTTGTCTATACTGTTATCATAATGAATCATTAAATCAGGCACCAACAGTAGGTACTCGCATCCGCTACCGGAATTGTCTATTTTGGAACAATGAGAAAGTAATGAAATTATCAGAGAGCAGCAGCTAGATAATTATAATGTAATAAAGGTGTATCTCAACTGTAAACAAGGCAGCTAGTCGAGGTGGTGGCGTCGTCGTCAGCAGATGCCGGCGTGCGGGCGCGCGGGCGCGTGGGGCGCCGGCGCACCGGCCGCAGCGCTGCGCACCGTCACCGCTGCTTATCACCGATACCTTGCCGATTGGCTGAGTGGAGTGTTTGCGCGCCTGATATGGCTGACGGGGGCCAATCGATTCCCCGTTCCGTCGAATCTTATCACGATCATGGTGGACGTTTGTGCCTCGTGTCGGTTCACCGATATCATATCTGAAGATATCGACGAAAGTATAAATATGAGCCCATCGATCGATCGGGTCTCTATCCGAGTGTGAGCTGTGATTACGATTGACTGTGCAGCGAGCTGCGCGTGTTATACTAGTGCCGGAGCTGCTCTCTCAGGGACCTGGGACTCCTCTTCTGTTCACGGTTGATGGTGTCGTTCCTTTTCACGGATCTTGGTGATTCTAACTCTTTTTATTATCTTACTCTTGTGCTGCAACCAGAACTGTTGACGTGGCGGTCACACTTGCTTATCGACCTGTTGCGAAATAGTTGTTAGATCAGTATTGTGCTCACCCGGCAGTCATCTGCCATGCCGACAGTTCTGCGGTGTAGTTAGTGTCGCTGCTAGTACAAAACGACGACGATTACGTAATAACATATGGTGGTCCAATGGCACATGTGTGAGCTCACTCAAACTGATTACTCGCTCGGAGCATTTTAAAACAATCTTCTTAATGTGATAATAATTTAGTTGCGGCTACATTCGCTATATCGCTCTGCAGAGACGCTGACGTGATGGGGAAAAGCGTTGCTCTTATCAGAAAACATTAGCCGCACCTTTTCAAGCGGTGATAGCGAGTTGCCCGACTCTATATCGAGCGCGCGCGCTACGATTGTCACACTGAACAAACACGCACCAGACAACGTTCATGTCGTATAAATATTCGTTTTGATTTTCAGAATCGACACCAGCGCCACCACATGCTAGACCTCACGTCTGAGTTGGACAGGGGATCTTGACAGTTTGAGCTATGTGCTGCCAGATCTATCTTTCCAGCTCACGCGTGAAGTCGCTTCTTCTTGACGGTGGTATCTTCGGCTACGGGAGTCCAAGACAGCATTGAAGCATCACTAACTTACCCCAGAGACCCAGACGAACTACTTGCTTAGCGACGCGTGAAGGATCAAGTGGAGGTGTGATCTCTTCACTTTTTATGTTTAAAGTGAGATTCAACTCCTCCAACTTAATTCCGAAACGCTTTTTCTACGCTCAAAGAACATGAACATGAAGATAATGGAAATTCTAGAACATTTAGCTTAATATACAAATTTATTATTCTTTACATTTAATTTATCAAACTAAGTCATGAAAACATTTGTGGACAGTTGAATCACTAATTGACTTATATCTGTAAATACATAGGTATAATCTTATTTTAATAATATTTTAATAAGGTCATAAGTTATATATTAAACATTGGTAAATAAAAATAATTTCATTTATTTGCTTGTAATAATTTCAAAACTTACTCCTTGAACATGAACACGAATACAAAGGTATATAAACCAAACAAATTCAAATACTGGCGCCACTGTACACGGCACGCGAGCATTATGGAAGACCCAACGCTACGCGACTAGTCTGAAGTACACTGCAAATCAGTAGAAAAAAATCACAACACCCAAAACAAAAAATGGGCAAAAAAATGTTGGTAACACCGGTGCGCTAAAAAAGCTTGCAAACTTCACGCACCTAACCTGCGCTGGACATCGACTCGTCCGTATCTCTAAACTCTGGGAAAATGTATATTGATTTTTCAAAGAAAAGTCAACCGATGTAACAAAACACCATTCGCGGAGTGTTTATACGCGTAGTAAAGTGCCGCGGTCGATGTGCTGTGTCGTCAAGATGATGCGACGGTGTTCGTCGTCGCGTTCCGAGTGAGATCGGAGAGAGTGTTGCGTCGCTCGGCCGTCGGCCCGGAGCCCGGCCGCGGCCAGGGCCTGGGCGCGCCATGGACGCCGGCGCTGCTGACCCGCTGCGAGTGGCCAGGCCGTGAGTATCATGTCTCGTTGCCCGCACCCATCGCTTACAGCGTGCTGTGGACGTTCCGCCCGCGTTCTTACGTCGTGGATTATTTCGGTCCCCGCGAGCCCATCCGAGGTTGCGAAACGGCCCGTCCGCGCTCGTTTCTCGCTCGCGCCGAGCGGACATTCTCTCGCTCGTGCGGTCGCGGCGTCACGGCCTCCGCGTTGCGCCATTTCGAAACGGTCGCATCGTCCGCTCGCGCTAGTGCTGCAAGGCGAGGACACCGCGGCCAGCGCTGATAGCGATCGAGCTGCGAGCGCGGCGGCCGAGCGTGACCGCCTCCGCCCGCTCAGCCTCGGTGCCACCCGCATGAATGACTCGGCCAGCCGGGATCGTAAATCAGAATCGTGTTTACAGTTTTTGCGGGGCGCACGAAACCTGTCGCGCCGCCCCCGAGACAAAGGGCGGCGCGAGAGGCGCTCGGCCTCGGCGCGGCTCGACCGTGGCGCTCACCAAACGCCCGAGTGAATTATGGCTAGGTGCATATAACCCGTGTACTACACATACCTAACATACGCGCCTACCTATCTATAGCTATATGCAGCGAAGGCTGCGAGTATGTACCTACCTACTCAAACAAAGCATTTTGCCCACAAATCCATACTGCTAGCCTCGTACGGGCTGTGTTCGCGTTCTTTGTAAAATTTCGTGCGAGTCCGCGACGGGGGTGATGTCATGTATGTGTATGTAGTCTTAGCTAACATCTGGGCGTTTGTCAATTGTTAATATTAGTGTGCATTTTGAGGTTAGGTTGTGACTGTGTCTCTGAGTGGTCCAGGACAAGCCACCGCGGTGCCCTGGCCGGCGCAGCACCGCTGGTGTAGTCTGTGTGTCTGTGAGTGTGCATTTATCACTGTGGACATTGATAGTGTGGCATTGTGGGAGCTGGCTGGATGTTGTGTGTTGTCTCAGGTTTAAATGCAGCAATTATAGTTAATGGCTCATTAAACAGTTCCAATTAGTGTTTGATGTGATTGTGATAGTGAGTGTGAGGACGTAGCTCAGCACGAGTGCTCAGTGTGCCTGAGCGGTAGCGGGCCCATGCTCAGGTGATCAGCATTAGTGTGTTGGCATTGTGTTCCATGCGTACCTACTCTCAGGTCATTTACCTGCTTAGCAAACTATTAACAAACTGGTAGGAGTGATAAAACTAGAAGGACTACAGGTTTTCAAGTGACTGAGTTACATCATGCTCATGATTGCACACAAAGTTGTTTTATCTCTGCATTCTTTGTTGAACAGTGTTCAAACTGGATAGTTGTATCTGCCAGGCTAGTTTTTAAATTATTTGAATTTGTCTTTAAATTTAATGGTTCCTGTGTCACAGTCACTTTGCATAATTTACACATTTGGAACATGTTTGTTTTCCACTCACCAGCAGCCTTAGAATCTATCAGTTGTATGAACAATTTCAACTAGACTGGTTCTCAGTAAGAATACAATAAGTGTTGCCTTTGTTTATATGCTGATAAACAAATAATGTGCAAGTGTAATTCATAACTTACATTGATGTTTATTAGACGCTTTGATTTATAGATACTGTGAATTAATGTAATGATGTAATAAACATCAATCTGTAGTTCATTTTGATTTACAATTTGTAGCACAGCTGATAAATTAATGGCTGAATGAGGCATATATTGACAATATAAACAAATAGTGGTGGAGTGAGTGACTGTCAGTGTTAATGATGCTCAGACATTCCCCGTGGTGAGGTGACTAGTGTAGTGATGCTGTGCCTCAGTGGATATGACTTGCTCATGTCAGACATCCCAGCCAGTGGCGCACCCAGTGCTGGGTAAGTGGATGCACTACTTCGTGTAATCATTACTCTAAACATTGTTTACTTTCAGCTTATTCAGCTCACTGTATATTACACAAAAGCTTATCTTTTGTGTTGACATAATATTTTAATATAATTTGAATTTTATTTGCAGATGATTAGCTTAAATACAACATAAACAGTGTAAATCATTGGTACACATAGCTCTTCACAAATAACTAAGAATATTTACGTTATAGTAAACTTAACTTGCACTTATTGAGGATCAATTAAAGTCACCAACAAATCCATCATTCTATGTGATAGAAGTGCCAGTCTTCACATTCAGATACTATAAATGTGAAGCACATTGTTAGTAACATAAGAATTTATATTTGAAGTGTTGTTACTAAGTGTTGACTCTGTACCCACCTAACTAATCTAGTTGAGTATGACACACAAAGTACCTCCCCATATAAATATAGCCGGGTGTAGACTGTACCTACTGCTAGTGGCCATACAATACATTGGACATTTGTACAGGAGGATGTGATGTTTCACCGCTTGATAACTTGACCTCAAAAATAACATTAAACATGATTTTCCTTCATCAATTCTTACTGTCCTGGGAATATTTCTCTTTACCTTGTATCAATTAAATACATAATTGCTTATTTTATTTAAGTAAATCATTATTTGTTTCTTTTATGTATTATATTTAAGTAATATTGGTATTGTACACCTTTTATTATATACCTTTTAAAGTATAGTGTCATTGTTTTTCTATATATGTATTATTAAATTAATTAATTATTATATTAGTAATGTAATAATTTAAGTAACTAGTTAGGTGTTATAATAATGGAATAAAGTTAAATTGTGATTACAAAATATACACAAAATATGTTTTTGTCTTAGCAACACAATAAATAGATCTGTTAGTCAAGCTTCGGGCTTCATTCAAAGTATATTTTTCTATAGTCTTATTGGAAATCAAGAATACATCGAGGAACATTTTTCTTAACTGTAGTTATTTTAATTAACCCAGATATAATATTTTTAGGTAGTATGAGTAGTACCTATGTTGTATTACTTATCTGTTCTAATGAGACTTAGGAAATCATTGGACTTGGTCTCATTGGACATACAGTTTTGACATTCAAAATATGCATGTTTACAAGCAGTAAGTAATATAACAGTTTGGTTAACAGAAAGTTGTGTTACAAAATGTTATGAAGCAGTTAGAGCTAGCTCCTTTGTTTGGGCTACTTTTAGTGCCTAGTTCTGCTATTACATAATACAACTAAGTAAAAGAAAAATGCTTGAAACTTGTGACTTACATAAGTATTGCATAGTTATGAACTCTCACCTGGGTTTGTTCAGTAATGGCCACTCCATGAGAGGCACTCCATCTATGAGATTGTCCACTAGTAGTGCACTATACACGTGGCAATATGTTATTTACGCCACTTACACGCAGGAAATTCACAAAAGGTTCGACATGTACTAAATTGTCTCCCATACAAATTATAACTGTTTATTTTTAATACCGTCACGGCTTTTATGTATCTCCGAAGGGGTAGGCAGACGTGCACATCGTAGCATGTATTACCGCTGTACAATGTATATCCACTTTCCAACAGTTCTGTTACGATTCCCAAGTAATACTATCGAAAGTATGTAGATAAATGTAAGCATTACTAAAATGGATAGTAGAAAACTATAAAGATAGTTTACTCATTAAGTAATTTTGATTGACATTGTTTATAGAATATGTTGTTGTACAATACCGCAGTGTCCGCGACCTGCATAGTTACTTGTAGGAACATTTATTACGATTTTCACCAACCACCTCTTAGCCATATCTTAACTAAAAGTTACTTAAAGTGACGTAACACCTAAATTAAGCCCTTAATTGGACTGTTAGGTGTCCACTTATTTATAGGAACACGGGTATTAGACGTACGTTACATTTGTATTGCTACATACAAAAAACTTGCACCCAGCCTCTGGCCATACTCCTGAAAATGTTTTTTTTTTATTCAGCTTTAGTGATCTAGTACATTATTGCCGGTGCCATGGCCGGCGCGAATCGCGTACCGTCAGGTGATGCTGCTTAGCCCCCTACACGGTAAAATCGAAACACGTCAATATTTGTGTCAGTGATTTGGGATCATGAGAGGTTCGTGCGAAAGAACAAACACTAGTTTTCAGCTTCAAATATTCAGCCAACAAGTTTTCATCAGAGTAATTGAACTTACATGCAAAACATGTTGGTAGGGATATACAATATATACACACCTGTCATTGTTAATTAATGTTATTTTCAATTATTTTGCAAATAAAAAGGCATTGTATCACCGACATGTTGACATTCCCCTCGTTTGGGCGCCTACCTATAACATCGGACCTTGATTTTATCCAGCTTGGTGTATAACAAATCCTGAAAGTGTTTGGCTGTAAACAGCAGTAGACAAAACTGTTGTGAAACTGGTCCCCGTCACCAGGGCATGTAAAAAATCTATTGTATTGCTAAATATATGTACAATGTACATAGGTATAAAGTAACACGGTTGAAGACTGTCCTCTGGGAAATAATATAATAATTATACAAAAAGTCTCAGCGTACATAATATAGTAATTATATTTAATTAGATATATTCAAGATCACAGTTGTGCGCGCGTGATAGCGCTCTGAAGACTGTTGCTAGTCAATCATTCAAACAACGAGCGAGAGGAAGTCCTGATAAACTGCTGCGCTATCAGATAAAGCAAAATACTAAAGAAACAAAATACTAACCAAAACTGGTGTTTGGACATGTTTACTATTTGCACGAGCGTAAGCGAGCTTATCTTAGTGGGGAGTTAACACACAGACCTCGAACCTCTGCCTTGACCGACATACGTAGTGTCCAGGATGTCGCTTGCCACCCAAGACAAACCACTGCTACAGTGCTGTTACCTCGGTCCCAACTATTTCGCCCTTTGTAGGTACGGCAGATGCTCACAAGTAGTACTAAGACATAGTTACCTAGTCTCCTTCAGTTCAATGACTAGAGAGCCTCAGTCGGGCCTTGAGGAATGCAGTAATTATGCAATATTATTTCAAACAAGTCATTGAGCTCTGCTATTGTGTGTGAATAACTAGTGACATGTTCCGCTGATGTTGTGCCTAAGCCTGAGGGATACAAAACACACCCTATAT